TAGGCTGGTGTCTTTAAAAGGGTCTGAACCAAAAGCGACTCAAAGGAGTAACACCCCAAAGAAACAGTCTCCCCAGGTGTGCCACGAGGTTTCGAGGTTTCGAGGCAGCAGGACCCCTGCGGAAAGTACTGGAATCCTGCCCCAGCCCCACGGGGAGGGGGCGCCGGCGTGGCCCAGACTCTGTAGGGGGGTTAGTCGGCTTTGATTGTCCAAATTCTGAACACAGACTGGTATTGAATTCAGCCTGATGCTGATGTAGGTCTGCTCCCGTCTCCTGCGAGGGCAACAGTCTACAAGATCTCTGGCTACAAATCCATTAAAAGGAAAATGCTCCCCCAAAGACAAACGGGAGGTGGGAGTGTGTGTGTGTGTGTGTGTGTGTGTGTGTGTGTGTGTGTGTATAAGCTGGAACATGAGGAAATGACAACCTTTAAAACCTAAGACAGCAATTCTTAAAACGGAGAAATTATAGTTAAGAACAAGAAAAAGGAGAGCCCTGCGACAGGAAGGAGAAGCCAGCCAGGCTGCTAGAGTGCACACATCCTTCGGATCCTGGGAAATGTCCACGTTCAAATAAACAAGCGAGCGCTGGCTGAGCGCTTTCTTGCTGCCGATAAAGCGAACGTTTAGACTGCGAAAAGCGAGATTGATTTACGAATCTGAACGCGCCGGTTTTATGGCCGATCACAAATCCGTCAGCGCTCAACTCACGCTGGGAAACTTCCCAACTCCGTTTTCCAATCAAACTCGCTCACAGTCACCACTTCCCAGGGAGACCCACCAGGCGCTGAAGCCGCCTCCAGGGCCCTAGTGGGACTCGGCAACCTCCCGCCCTGGCTAGCTGGCAGGCAGGCCACAGAGGTAAGAGAGGGAGTGCAAAGGCCCAGGGAACTGGGGAAGAGGTCAAAAGATTGGAAAGCCTCACTTAGAGGGGTGGCCACTAGACCTGGAGAAAGTGAACCCCCCCCCCAGCTGTCAACTCCAAAAAGGGTTAGGTCTGGAAATGAGAGAAAGGGTGAGTCTAGGGAAAGGAAAGCCTTTGGTGAACCCCAGCCTTTCCCCTCTATGGTTGCTCTTCTTTTGGTGTACCCCCAATTCTCATGTCTCAAAGAGCAGTTCAGAGATGTTCTACATGACTAGGTCTTTGTCAGTGTGTCTGGAGAGGGCCCACAATCAGCTATTGTCGTCATCAACAAGTCCCAGATATTTTCAATATCAAAGTGGCCTAGTCCACCTCTTTGCCCACCTCCTTCCTTCCCGAGGCCCCAGTTCCTGCATTTATGCTACCCAGGGACAAAGAAAAGACCAAATACCCCAAGTACAGGAAAACATTTATACAATGTGAGCCAGCAACACCTCACACACTCTCCAGCAAAGCCCAGGCTCTGCCTTTCTTAATTTAAGGAGAGTGGCCCCTCTTCCCACTAGAAAGGTCTCTCCCTCCCCCTTCCATCCCTCCTTCCTCTCCTCCCCTTTGATGGGTGCTGCTGATATGGGTATTGAATGTGGAAGATAGAACATTGAATATTGGGGGGGTCTATGATTGAGCTTCCCTTCTTGGCAAATCTCCCCTCTGTTTCTTAACTTGAAAAGTTTCTGCAAACTTTGGTTAGACCAGCAAAGTGGGCCCTGGAAGCCGGAAGAGCAACCTGCAGCAGTCCTCCTGCCTTTTCTCTTGCTCTTCCCTTTACTGAGGCACCAAGGATATAGCTTCCTAAACAAAGGAACTTCTGGAGAATGAGTTGAGAGACTATAGGTTTGGGAGGGAGGGAGGGAGAGAGGGAGGGAGGGAGGGAGGGAGGGAGGGAGAGAATCTCCAAAGGAATATTCATTTCTCTCCAGCTCAGGAGCTTGGAGCTCATTCCTGATGGTCTACAGCCCCATGGACAGTGTCTGTCTAACCTCTGATATTGTATCTTTTAGTCCCGCTTCCTTCAGCTTTCTTTAGGCAAAGCCAAAAAAGAGAGGTGCAAATGGACTTGGGGTAGGGGAGGGGGCTGAAACCTAATCTGGGAAAGGGACTATATACAGACCAGCACCCTACCCCTGACTCACAGAATTTCTGGGCTAACTTACAAAACAAAACAAACAAACAAAAACTGCAAGAAAAAAGCTCTTTCTTCCTAGTCTATAATAATAGAAAAATGATCCATACATTCTGAGATAGCAAAGGATTTAGGCACAATTAGTGCGGTGGAGAAGCTGGAACCCCTCCCTGAAGAGGTGTGACTTTCCCTCTGGGGCAGGAAGCAAGAGCTAGCACAATGTCCAGTCTCAGAGAGGTCAAGGGGCTTCCGAGGTCATTTTGTGGTTCTAATACCAAGCTAATCGCCTAGAAAACGTGGCCTCTCCATGAACTCTCTATCCTGCCAGCCTCCCGCCTCCAAACTCCAAGTGAGGCCTCAGGGAAAAGGGGCCAGCACATTCAGGTCTGACGAGGAGCTACTGATTCCTCAGCCTGAGGAGTAAGGCCCCTGGGAGAGAGAGCAGAGCTTCCAAGACCTTCCAAATCCAGAAGCAAAAAGAAAGGAAACTGAACACTGAGCCTCCAGGAGGCCTGGAGTGTTGGGTAGGGGGAGCAGGACAAAAGAGGATTTTTGTGTCAGTGCACCTGGCCCTGAGCAGTTTCTCCTTTTCAGGGGGTAAAAGAGTGTCTAGAATCCCAAGCTAGACACCAGAAGAAAAACCAACCGAATCCACTTCTCCCAGCTCCCAGGCTCCATTCAAGACCTGGATTTCATTTTTCCAGGAGGCTGCAACTACAGCATCTCCCTGGTAAACAGTGCAAACAGAGTCCCAGAAATACACCGAATGTGCACCTTGCTAGTGCTAGACACAGGCTCGAACATGCACATACAGGCTCCCTCCCATGCCAGCCTGCGTTTCTCAAGAACCAGAGAACACTACTGAAGAGCCTCACAAACAGCCCTCTTCTCTGGTGTTTCTCAGGGGCCCTGACACCTCTGTCCCAATCAGTTCAAACACTCTCCAGGTGTCCAGGCCTCTCTCCGTTCTGTCTCTGTCTCTTCCACTCTCCCCCAAACATCAGTCATCATAAAACACAGACAAACCTGCCCAAGCATCCACCATAAAAAAAAACCACAAAGATAGTTGAAAAAGAAAAAGGAGGTGAGATATTTTTTCCCCTTTCACTTGTGAAAGGAACCCATAAAACGATTAAAAAACAAAAAGATAAAAGTCACCCCAAGCCAGGACTTTGTTACCTTCTGTGCCCCTTGCCCGTTCTCGCCTGAGCGCCTGAGCTCTGCTGGTCCTGCTCATGATGAAAGCCTTCTTCCAAGCTGAGAGAAAAAAGTTTTCAACTTTATGGTTCCAAAAATGTTCCCCCTTGCAGATCCGGGAGAGGCGGCTAACACTTTTTTCCCCCAACAGCCGGTCTACGGAGATTTGCTGTTGAATAATAACAAAGGAGAGAGGGTACGTATTTAAAGAAAAGAAGTGATTAATGGTTTTCTGTATAATTCTCACATTTTTCTTAGCTCTTGTCTACACAGAATGGCTGTGAACTTTAAGCTCCATAGAAATCTTCGTCGTCGTCTTCTTCTTTTTCTTTTCTTTTATTTTTTTCTTTTAAGATTCTATTCATACCTTCTATGGGGCAGCTTTGATTTGATTCTTTACAGACATTCCTGGGGGGAGACCTTATGGTTTTCAAGAACTATTTTCCCCTCAACTAAGGGCTGTCTTATCTCCTCAAAACTAAAACATTACACCATACCGGAGACAAAGCTAACCCACTCATCCTCCTCCAGGTCTAGGGGCAACTCTTCCTCTTTCCTTCCTTCCTTTTTTCCTTTCTTTCATAATTTCTTTTTAAAAAAAAAACTAATCTCTGAATTGCCTTTTAACGGGCAATTCTGCTGTCCTGGGGATATTGGTCCAATGGGTTATTTGGCCTTCCTCAGACCCCTGCTACCCTTACAGGCTAACCAAAGAAATGCAAAATAAACAACAATCAAACATGTGGATGGTATTGGCTCTTTATTTTCTGGAAAGAAATGGGACCAAAAAAAAAAAAGCCAAAAAACGGAACGACTTTTAATGGCGTATGCTCTGTGGAGCCCGGAGCTTCTTGGAGAAGAATGTGACTGCACCCTGAGCCATCACCAGACCATGGACCCAAGGCTAGGGCCCCAGGCCTTAGAACTTCTTGCCCATACTGCACAAAAGTGACCCAAACCTGGCAGAGGCTTGTGAGGATCACCTGGATCCCTTCCCCCACTCCATTCTAGGGTAATTGGGATCTCAGACACAGACAGCTATTTGGTCCCCAGCCTTACTTTCGATACTTTCTATGAGAAAGAAAATGAAAATTAATACAGGAGCAGGGCTTCACAAAAGAGGCCATTTGTCTTCTTGATTATCTATTTGCTTGTCAGAGTTTGAGCTATGGCACCGGCTAGTTCCTTTGTAATATAAAAATACTCTGAAAACCTGAAAACACCCAGAAACATCTGTGCAAAAATTAGACTCATTAAAGCCTCAGACACCTCAGAGGAGAGCGATACCTTCTTATGTGGAGAGGAAAGAGGCCAGCCTCGTGGAGTGGAGTCCTCTCTCGAACTTTAGTAACCAAAGAGCCGTCTGTCTAGAAGGAGACAGCTTAACTGCATTTTATTTGCTTATGACAAATAAATCATAGTATGAAAGACTTAGCTCTCCTTAAGCCTCTGGTGTCTTACAGTGAAACACACACCCCCACGGGGACCTAGAATCAGCCCTCCCAGTCCTTTCAATCCATTTTTGGACTGGAGGGGGAAATTTTTTAAGCCTCAAACAAAACACATCCACTCCAAAGGGAAAACAAACCAGCTACCACAATTTGGAATCCTCTAAGGTAGAGATTCCCATTGGAGCTTTTAAAACAAAACAAAAAACCCACTTCATGGTAAGGCCAAACCCACTAAGGATGCTTAGCATATACACTGGGCAGCACTTGTTCCTATCTTTATCATCAACATTCCAACAAAAACACGATGTGATGGTCACAAGAAACCAAACATTTATTTCTGTTGTCACTCTGTACAGGACACAAATTTTCACACCAATGAAAGGCTCTAGGCTCAGGCAGCCCCAGAGGTAGGAAGGGGCCTGGTTTGGAATGTCACAAAGATAACAGGAGAGAGGACACACATGACATAAAATAATAATAATATTATTAATATTAATAATAATAATAAACGATGCAACAGTGATAACAACGGGAGAAGGCTCTGCAACATAGTCCTTCCAGAGTAGGAGGGCCACAGAATTTTATTTCCTAATTTCACATTCATATGTAGTCTAAGAGAAGGCCTCTGCTGAGGAACTGTGGATTGGTCAGAAGACATTCCCAGCTCCCAGAACTCAACTGCCCCCCTCCCTGCCAGGCCTGGCTAGACCTTCTAGCAGAAGGCCCTCCTGGGTGTCTAAATCTCTTTTTTTATATTTCTTGGGTTCAGATTCCGGAACCCACGTTGTGAAGACCGCCCCTTGCTTCCCTTCTGTTTCCCCTTCTAAGCCTATGGTGGAAGGGGGTGAGCAGTCATCCCCCCACCCCAAGGTGGGCACCGACAGGGAGGGAAGTTGTGTGTGTGTTTGTTACCGTGGCCAAAACACTGTGCTATCTGGCAGTCAGAGGGTGCATTCGCTGGGTGTCAGGAATAAGGGACAAAGAAAGAAAATCCAGGCTGCGGTCCAGCAGCGGCAGCAGCAGAAGCGGCAGCAGCGGCCGAGCCCGGCCTCATTTGTTAGCGAGTGTCGAGGTAATGGTCGCCACCGAGGCTCGTCCTCTCCTCGGCAGAGTAAACAAGACAGATGGGCCCGGGCCTGGCATGATTAAAGATGAACCGTGGATCCATCTTCACCAAAGCTGAAAACCAGGCGCAGCAGCCTCCTCCATTTCTCTTTCTGTCTTTTCCTTTCTTCCTTCTTCTTTTCCTTCTTTCTTTTTTTTAAAGGAAGAAAGCAAGAGACTTGCTTCCGGGGGGCTTCACTGGGCTCCCTATTGTCGTTTCTATAAATAAGGCTTCCCTACCCGCCCCCCTTCTCTGCGTTTATTCCTTATAGATAAAGTGGGGGTAGGGTAGATAGGTTTTTCTGGGCTCAAGCCTAGGGACCCTCCCATACCCCGCATTCCCCTTCGGTGCTCACGGCCCCCCGCCCCCCCAGGTTCGAGCTCCTGCTTGGGGGAGCACTAGAGTGTGGGGGGGGCCTCCATTAGGCCGGCCAGGGGGTCCTCCGGCTGTGCCCGCGGTGCCACCCGAGCGGATCTTGGTATTGGGCAACTTGTGGTCTTTTTTCCACTTCATGCGTCGATTCTGGAACCAGATCTTGATCTGGCGCTCGGACAGGCAGAGCGCGTGGGCGATCTCCACCCTCCGGCGCCGCGTCAGGTAGCGATTGTAGTGAAACTCCTTCTCCAGTTCGAGGACTTGCTGACGAGTGTAGGCGGTCCGAGAGCGCTTGGGCTCCCCGCCGGAATAATTGGGGTTTACTGGACACACACAGAGAGGGAGAAAGAGAAAGTTTTATTGCCCCCGAAAGGGAGGAGGGAAAGCCCTTTCTTTCTTCCAGCTAACTTCAAGCCTCCCGGTCCTACCACCTCATCTTGGAGGGAGGGGGTCGAAAACGGAAGGCAGACATGGGGCACGCGAAAAAGAAAAACCTCAAACTTTTGAAAGGCTAGCTGTCGTCCTTGTTGCCTGGGGGAGGGGGCCCTGTGAGGAATCTTGGAAAGATTTCATCTCACTCTTTGGCCTGAGGACCCCGAGTGAGAGAATGAAGGGTGGAAGAGGGGAGGGGTGTTGCCCTAGACCTTTCCTGATTTTAGTCCCCACCCTCACTCCTTAGATTCCAAACAGCGCCTTCTTCCCAGTAAAAACTTTTGCCCACTTCTCCAGCGAAAGAACCAGGCTGGAAGAAAGGGAAAAAGAAATACTGGAAGTTGATTCAACCCTCTGCTTAAATACGGATTACTACCTCCTCCTCCTTCCCCTCCCCTCCTCCTGCACCCCTCCCCAACTTCCCAACTTCAGTGGGACTGCATATCCCTGGCGAAAAAGTCTCTGGGAGAATGGAAAAGAGGATGACTTCAAAGGCGCAGGGCCCACCAGGCCATAAAAATTTATGGGCGATGTAATTATGTGGCTCTGAAAACAGGAGACCGTAAATCTCTGGCAATGGCGAGTTTATAGCGGGGACAATTGGCTTCCCCCCAGCTCCCTCCCCCACATGCCTCGGAGGTCCCTTCGCTGTAAAGTGCCGGGGGTGGGAGGGGAAGGGGGTGCCCACGCACTCACCCGTGCTCACGTGAACTTTGCGCATCCAGGGGTAGACGACGGGCTCTTTGCACGCGGAGTGGGACGGGCTGGGATGCAGGGGGTTCTGGGCGCAGGGAGGCGGCGGGGGACTGCTGCTGACCGCCTCGCAGCGCTGCCCAGGCTCCGGGAGGAGGGCCCCGGCTGGCGGCTGCACGGGAGCCCGAGGGGACAGCCCGGGAGGTGGCGGGGGCGGCGGGGGCGGCGGAGGTGGCGGGGGCCCGGGGTCTCGGCAGGCCGCGTAGCGCTGCACGGTGCACGGCGCACGGCGCCCGAAGGCCGCCTCGGGCTGGAAGCCGCTCTCTCGCCTCTGGCCGCCGGCGTAGTACCCAGGCGAGTGGTCGCTGGGTAGGTAATCGCTCTGTGAATACTCCTCGCACGGAGGGAACTTGGGGTCGACATAGTTTGAGTTGATCAAAAAGGAACTCATAGCCATTAATTTCTGGGAATTGCCCACAAAATATACTAAAATTTATTCCGACCCCTGACTCGTTTTCCTGTTTCCGAAAGCCCTCCTACTTACTGTCAAGTGAACAAAGTTAGGGGCCCACGTGATCCTCCGAGCCAATGGCCACCCGGCCTGCGATTCCCGGATAAGGAAATCTGCTCACCCGGACCCTACTCCAGCCAAAGAGGTTTATTTCCCCTTCTCTCCCTCTCCCCACCCACCCAACACCAGGATTTACATAGGGCTCCTGCGGGGCGACCCCCTCCTTGCCTGGCTTTCTCGGCAGCGGAGAGAGACTGAGAGCTAGTGAACAGGTTAAGACTGCAAGGCCTGTTTGGGGGTGGCAGAACACAATCCCTGCATCCTCTCAGAAGTTGGGGCTCCGGGTGTAGCCCCCCTGCCCTACCTCTCCTCCGTCAATCGTTCTCTTTCTTCCATAGGGCCCCATCTCCTCCCCAGGGTGAGTGGGAGCTCACGCACCGACCGGGTGTCTGCGTGGGAAGTTAAGTGACTGGCGGGCCAGGGGGCTTCTTCTTGAAAGGGGCACCCACTAGGTTAGAGGGGCGCTGAGCTTGGGGCATCTCACTGCGGGCAGATGGGGAGGGGTAGGAGGTGAGTGAGGAGGCGTCGGGAGCTAGAGGGCGGGTGCGCGGAGGGACTTGTCAGAGATGAATGGAACCGCGGGCGGATCGATAGGAAATTCACGCACTAATTCGGGGAGACTTCGCCTTCCAAATCGCATTTAGCTGCACTATTAGCTTCAATGTGTCCGTCAGTCTGTCCTCTTCTCCTAACCACTCCCTCCCTTTGACCCACGAGGCCCAAGCTCGGAGAAACGTCTTGACTCCCCGCACTAAAGATAGAAGCTGGAATAAAACAAAACCTGCAAGTTTCGAAAACAAATTGAGTAGTCATTTGCTAATTCCAAATTCATCGAAGCAATGCTAACCTTGGCGCCAAGAGTTCTAATTGCCGCTCAAGCTGCCGCCTCTGCCTGTGTGGCCGAGGGAAAATCCACATCTTTGTGATCTAGGGAAAGGAGCCCTCTCTGTGACACCCCACCAACGAAACACACACAAGGACACCCATGGCAACCTCTTATTTTCAGGGCATCTTGTCCTGAACCCAATGAAATAGCGACCTCCGCATCCGTTTGAAAAGCAAATTTCCTTTGCCTTTGCACACTGTAGACAACATTACTCTCGCACCCCCCCCATGATTTCCAATAAAGCCCCCTAGACCCATAAGAGAAAATGAGTAGGTTTGCACTTAAGGATAAATTTTAAAACACCAGCAATATTAAACGCTTAAGTGAACAAGGACCCAAGCTTCTAAGGGCAGGCATGGAGGACACCTCAGGTAGATGAGATTTCTCCCTAACCAGTTGAGGGAGGGGGAGAAAAAAAAAGAACAGGAAGGAGTCTTCTTGAAGCCAGTCACTGGATTGTCCTCATTTAGAAAATAAGCTATTTTTCTTCTGGAAAAAAAATAAAGAGCGGAGTGTTTATGTCAACTACATATTCCCCTAGATACGAATTTGTGACCACAAAATTCCTTACACAAATTCGGATCTACAGGGTATATACAGAAGACAGACAGGTCTTCTTGGCCCAGGAAATTTCCAGTTCTCTTACTTTCGGTGCGTTCTTCTTTTGGGGTGTAGTTTGAATGCTTTCATTTTATTTCGTTTTGTTTTAATTTTGAGCTCTGGGAGCACAACAAAAGTTACTGTGGGTCCATTCTTAGGATTACAAGGTTTTCAACTCTCCTATCAAAAATAAAAGCAACCGTTGGGCAAAGGGAGTCGAACCTCGTGGCTGCCTCGCGACTTTCGGTGGCGCATGAATTATGAGATGTAAACATTAGCTAAGTACAAAAGGAGGAAGGGTCATCCTGAGGCTGCCTCGAAGTCAGAATCTGGCCTTTCTGGGTGCCCTCAGTCCCTCCCCTCCCTCTGTGACTTTTTTTTAAGAAAAAAAAAAAACCAAATTAGCTCCTCCCTTGTCCTCACAGTCTTTAGTTTGTGATCAAACGCATATCTAGATATTTTCCAAAGCAAAGGGAGCAGAGAGAGGCGGCTGGGTGTGAGGTGGGTATAATAAAAGTCCTTTTGGAAAAATTGAATGGTAAAAAGAGAGAGAAACAGCTGTGAAGAAAAATGCTGGGAGACCAAGCAGATGGGGGCTCCCGGATATTTAATGATGGGCAATTCGGTTTACAACCTGAGAAAAAGATCAAAGGCGCTTCATTTCCGAATGAAGGGCAATGAGGAACCATAAAAGTTGCAGCCAGATGATGCGCAGACCCCTCCCAACCTCCCATATCCCTCATACCTCCTGGGGGCTGGAATGAGGGGGACAAACCCATAGAGGTGTGGGGAGGACCTCTACTACCCACTTCTTAGCCCCAGGCAGAGATTCTGTGTGTGTGTGGGGGGGCACACTAACTGGGCCTATCCACCTGCTTGGGTTGCTGGCAGTGGGACCAAACATGGGATTCTAGAGTTTCTGAATGAACTTCCTGTTGGTTTACTACACTGGAAAAAAATGAGAAACTGAGCTAGAAGGGACTAAAGCTTAAACCCTGAGAGTTGTGACCAGGTAAGGGCCAGTGTGCCCTGCAGAAGCCTCCTCATCACCCAGCTCCCTAGGCTTAAGAAATACTTTTGTCCTTACTGAATAAATTGGAACACTGTCAATTTCACGAACATACACAAGCCAAAACAATAAAACAATCATCTAACCACCTCACCCATGCACAGACCAGGAACCGTTGCTGCATAGGAGAAATCCCACCTGCAGGCAACTGGGTCCAGATATCTGTTTCTGTTTTTTTTTTTCTTTTTCTAATTCCTCCTATATCTAGGCATTGCAATATTGGCCTCTGGGTTTGGCTTCTAACCCCAATGCCCTCCTAAGTAGGCCAAATTTATGTATAACTGGAGAGAAAAAACTACATTGTAGTTTTCATCTTCATCAAATAAAGGGTTCAATTTGGTCATCCATAGAAAAAGTGTTTTGTTTTGATCCCCACCCACCAGCTCTCAAGCATCGAGCAAGAACCAAATATTTAGGGGTTCCACTCCAGCTATCCAGGCCCTTCTACTATCCCATACCTCTGGCTCTTGCAAACGGCTCTAACCCATCTGTGGATCGGATCGGGAGAGCTTCTGGGCTGGCCTCTCTCCCAATCTACACTTAACAAGGGATGTGGCCCAAGTGTCCTGAGCACCGAGAAAGGAATGGGGGTAGAGAGATGGCAAGGCTGAGTATGGCTGAACCGGTTGTATCACTGAGACTGGGTAGCCACCACCTGCCATCCCACCAAACCCCACCCCCACTCCCTCCCTGAGTAGAAGCCAGGGGCAAAGACAGGATTTACCAGCCACCCCCAGGACAGGTTTCACTGAAGCTTAGGACAGCCTCACCTCTTTACACCCAGAATACCAACAACAGTAAGCATAACAATAACAAGACGCAGAGCCGGGGCTTGGGCACCTTCAGTGCTACCTCTGTAGTGCTCCTAGGTTCTAGGAAGACCACTTGGCCACCTTCTCCTGGCAGCCACAGGTTGCTAGTGTGGCCTCTCGCTGTCCAGCGCACCCCACCTCCGCCATCGCAGGCGTGCCCCGGCCCAGAAAAAGCATCTACCTTTTATGGGCGAGTTGGAAGAGAAGCAGAGAGAAAGAGAAACCCGAGCAGAGGGCCAAACTGAGGCTAGTCCCCAATGGGCCCGGGGCACCCCTAGCTGAACTGTGCGAAGGCCGGAGCCGGCAAGAGTACTCACCCAGCCGCTCCCCGCCTGCTCCCGGCCGACTCGCTGTGGGCCCGCTGAGCAACAGCTGAGCTCGCTCCTGTCCACTATTGTGTGTCCGGAAAACCGAACCACGGCTGCGGGCAAAGGAACCACAGGCCCCCTCGGAGGCCGGAAAACGACTTTTTTTTTTGGTGTGTTTTTGTTTTTGAAGAGCAAGTTTTCGTATTAATCTCATACTTTGGCAGTCTTTGTTAAACAGCTAGGCGCGTCACGAGGCTCTTGAACATTTTAATAATTTTTAGACGCCGTGACCTGCGGTTCACCCCTCTCCGGGCCTCCCCCACGAGCAGGCAGTTACTATAATATGCTCACGCAGTTCGCTCGGTCATATTGAATTTTGCGCAGGTCATTACTTGGGAGAAAAATGACAGAGCAGGAATTTGATTCAGCTTACCCTCTCCAGCTCGACTTTTCCCCCACCCAACGCCCCCACCCCCCCAAAAAAGTCTCCATTGGAATAAGAATCAGGCGGCCCCGCCCCCACTTTGATTTTTCAGTCATTCCAATATTTTTGTCAGGGAGGCCTGAGCATTAACTAACTATGCTGGCACCGGCACCTGAAGGGCAGAAAGTGTGTCATTGGGCATCTGAACCCTAGAAAACCCAGCCTGAGCCAAGGGTTTCCTTCCCTTGGCTCTTGCTCTAACCACCTACACCGACCGGCAGGGCCTGTGCAGATCTGTTACCCTCTTCATCCACGTTAATTGCAGAGCCCCAAATGCCAGATACATTGACACTTCTGTCAAAACTTTAGAGGCTCCAGAATTCCAGAAAGAACTTTTCTACCTCTCTAGAAGGGAGTTTGATCCACAGCAGAGAGGGGCCAGACTGCTCTGGTCAAAGCAGGGAACTTGAGGACCTGCTCCCAGAGGCTGCAATGGTTCCTAAAAACAAAGCACCCCCTTTTTTTGTTTGGTTTTAAAAATCTAGTGGAATGTCAATGTATCTTTCCCAGGTTTTAAAGATCTGGTGGAATGTCTACAATGTATCTTTCCCAGGTTTTAAAGATCTGGTGGAATGTCTACAATGTATCTTTCCTCTTCTCTGCCTCCCCCAGACTGGCTGAGGTCGGCTAGATATTCCCCTTCGACCCATTTCAGTTAACCCAAGCCTAAGGTGAGTGCTGTGGGGTGTCATCTTCTAGAGCCCCAGTGAGCATTCTGGGTCTGAGTCTGGGTCTGGGTCTCTGGGTCTGGGGTGGCAGAAGTCACCCTTCCCTTCCTGCAATCTTTTTAGCCTGGGACCGTGGGTCACTCCAGTCTATTCCAGATTTCTAAATTTTGTCAGCATTTTCATCTGAGATGAAGGCAAAGGAGATTAAGAGGGAACCAAAGGAAACGGATTTTCCTCTTGAAGCCATGACCACTGCTCCTCAAGACCCAATAATTCCTCTCTGGACAACACCAGAGAATTTCATTTGAGGACTAAATAGAAATAGGGTTCCATGCACCCTTTAGTTAGGGGGAAAAACTGGGATCAAATTGACTTGAAATTTGCTGTTACCCTTTTTTCTCTTTGACTTTATTTGAAAAGCCATCTTTACAAAAGCCCCCAGCTCATCTCCATTGTGGAAGGACCAACACCCACAGTGCACCTCCTATTGGGAATGCTTAGAAGAGACTGTGATGACATCTCATAATGCAACAGTCATTTAAAGACCCAAAATAGACATATACCTTAGTGTTATAATCATGGTCTCCGGGAAGCATTTTACTTGTGAGCTAAACTTAATGCATAGACTGAAGGTTCATTTCAGGTCGCCTGTTTCAACTGCAGTTGCAAAGATCTCCAAGAGATCATTAAGTATTTTTCCATCACACGTGTCCTCCCTCTTCCAAAGAGGGAGAGAGGAAACCAGGATGGATATCCAAATGGAGGCTTGGGAGAGAATGAGAGAACTACTTTTCAATGTTCTAGTTCTTAAGCACGAGGATTTAAAGGGAAGGATTAGGGATTTTAAAAATCTCTAGTATTGGCCCAAAGTCTCCAAGTCCAGTACCTGGAATTAATCTAGGAACTAGGGATCTGGGAAAACAGGACTACATCCTCAGGGGAAGGGGGAGGGCAAGGAGGGTGGGGCTGGTGTTGGTGAGAATCAAGACTTCACCTTGGAAGCCTTCTTTTGGCCCTGCCAAATGTCCTGCAAGGACGTGTGGGTAATTGGATTTTTTAAATGTGTGCGGCTGGGTAGGTTTTAATTAAATTTTATATGGTGACTCAAAGGTTATCTTTGGGAGAGAAAATTGCGTGGAGGATTCGCCACGCCCCAGAGCTCTGTCTTTTGTGCAGCTCTCCACAAGCAGCCTCATAGCGATTGCAGAATAGTTCCTTCCTTCCTCAGTTTCCCCTCCCCCGGATATCTGCTTTTCCCCTCTCCCACTCCTGCTGCCTCCACCGCTCACATCTCCCAGCTCCCTTGCCTGCCTTACCTCCAGCATCCCATGCTCTCTCTTCTTCTCTCTTCTCTCCTCACACATACAGCCCCCTCCCCCACCCCGCCCCCGCCGCTAGACGCCTGGGCCGACGGGATCACGCATGCACGTAAACTTTTGACCCTCCAACTTTGCGACCCCTCCGTCAATAACACTGGCCTCACTGCCCAGGGTCTCGTTCCGCTGTGAGGATTGCAGAAACCCAAGAACAAAACACCTTTCTTGCTCCCCGGCTTTGTCTACCTTGTACCCCCATCCCAAGAAAGAGCCTTAGACCTGGGGAATAAGATACTTAGGTATTAAAACAGCAAACAAACAAACAAAACTCCTGGAGGGCACGAACCC